CCTCAGTGGCAGCAGAGACAGCTCAGAGGCCTTTCACATTTGTCCTGGGGAGCCCTCAGCCTACACCCAACATTGCCCTTCCAGGCCTTTCCCCTTCTCTTCCCAGGGTGCAAGGGTGTCTTCTCCTTACTAAAAGCCTGTGGGGCACTGCAGGCAGTTTCCAGCCACACAGTGCTGTCCTGGCAAGCAGGTAATTTGGCACAGAATGGAGCAGTAGGGCCCACTGCAGAGAGAGAGGGTGGTTGTCCCTGCAGAGCACAAAAAAGAAGAGGGTTGGATGGGCATGAGAATGTTCCCCTGTGGTCTCTAGAAAGACTTCCTGGGCTGGGCCTTCTTGTGCAATGATGTTACTTTAGCAAAAGCCTACAGTTACTGACAAACTCATGACAAACTGTCGTTACATATGGGTCTTTCCTGAAAACTGTGGGTGCAGCAGCTGGTGCTGAGGATGATGGCTTTTCTGGACACAGCCAACATGAGACATGGAAAGAGAAAAAGCACAAAAATTCTGTACTGGGCTGTGGGTTGCTGAGAGTACCACCCCAACCCCACTGACCACAGAAATTTGATCCTGTGAAGAAGCCTCATGACTCTGGTTACTCTCACCTCCTAGAATTTCCAGGGACTCAGAGTGCCCTGCCATTAGCATCATAGAACAGCAGGTCTGACATTTCATCTGGTCAGCCCTCTTGTTTTACATGTGGGGAAAGAAGCTGGGACTCAAGGAGGTTGCAAGACTGGCCATGACGAAGCCTGGGGAAAACTGTCCTAGGCTGGGCCATGCACGGCAGGCCTGGGCCTGTGCCCCACTTGCTGTTCCAGAGGCTCCTCTTGGTGCTTGCAGCCCCACCCTCCCCCACCAGGAAAACTCTGCCGGGCTGAAGACCCAAGGAAGAACTGTGAGAGTTTTACCTCAAAACTGCTCAGCAAATCCTTATGGGGCCTCCAAGAGGCTCCAGTGGGGAAGCCACTGGTCTTGGGGACAAACAGACCTGGTTCAGAATCCAGCTCTTCCACCCACTACCAGTTAGCAATATCTCTACACCTCAGTTTTATCATGTTTTATTGGGACATGAGACCTGACTCAAGAGAATTTTGGACAAATGAAAAAGATTTGATGTATGTGATTTATATATTAAATAAATAAGTATATATTTTTAATGTTATATATAAGAATTACGTTTTAAATACATATATAAAAATATATAAAAGATATAGGAATATATATACCCTTTACCTGATACAGCCAACTACAAGTACTGGCTTTACATGAGGCTCAGAGAGGCAGACAATTCACCAAGAAAAGTAATAGCCATTAGGGCCTACAAAACCACTGGGCTGCATGTGAATCCAGGGACAGAGAGAAGATGCAAAGTAAAAGGATGAGGGGGCCAGAGAGGGAATGTTGAGTCCTGAGAACCTGGGTAGGGGAAGGCTGTGTGCAAAAGATGGCCTCACTTAGGTGGTGGAGAGAGTGGGGGCCCAAAGACAAGGGAAGCACAAGAAAACCACTAGAGGGAGGCTAGCGGTGCCCACTCGCTCCTACCCTTCCCTTAGGGCACTGCCCCAACAGTGATGAAGGCCATTGACTTGGGTTCATAACAGGACCTGTTACTGACGACAAGCTCTTGACCAAGTGATTGACCCTCTCTGAGCCCTAGTGTTCTTATATGAAAAACAAGTTATGTGTATGTGTGCAGGGTGGATGAGAGATCTAATAAATAGAGGCCAAGGGTCCCAGCACACAGCATGCATCCCAAAGTCACGGCCGCTATTTCACCAATTTTGTTGTTGACTTACCTGCAATGAGGGCAGCCAGAAGGGGGCTGAGGACCACCAAATGCCCAGCCTGCAGCATGCTGCAGCCTGGAACGGGAACGGCTGAGCCAGAGAATGTGCTGAATCCTTGTCCTGTCCAGGCTGGAGCTTGTAACCCACGCTGCTGTAACCAGACCCTCTGCAGCTGCTTGGACCACCCACACCAACGTCCCCTGGGAAAACACAGACTCCCTGAAAGCATCAGGTGAAGACAGGTGGGACATGCCCTTTGTCCAGCTCTCACACTCTGTCCTTCCAGGTGGCAGTGAGAAGAGCCAGATTTCCATGCTCTGATGCCCTTGTCAGACTTACCAGCTCTGTGATACTGGAATGTATTTTTCTGTCTCACTTTCCATCTGTAAAACGGGGGTGACAAGAGTACCTATCCCCCAGGAATGCAGTAGGGCTAAGGAGACTCAAGGCATCCTCAGAGTGATGCTTGTATTTTTTGAGCATTCACTGTTCCCTGGCAGTATACAAGGGGCAGAGAAGTGTAAATACTGACTCATGTTCTCAGGGCTTCTGTTAAAGGCTATGGGATACCCTGACCAGTGTGGCTCAGTCAGTTGGGTGCTGTCCTGCAAACCAAAAGATTGCAGTTTAATTCCTGGTCAAGGCGCATACTCGGGTTGTGGGTTGAACCCCTGCTCAGGGAACGTATGATGAGAGGCAACTGATCGAAGTTACTCTCTCACGTCAATGTGTGGGTGTGTCCCATGTGCCCCCTACTGGGGACCTGGCCCGAAACCCAGGCATGTGCCTTGACTGGGAATCAACCAGCAACCCTTTTGTTCACAGGCCAGCGCTCAGTTCACTGAGCCTCACCTGTCAGGGCCAGGAAGAGTCTTTTATTTATAGCAGCATCAGGACTAATAAATGTGAAGGGCTTGAATGAGTTAGAAAAAAATCAACATTTTGTAACTAACCTGGTAAATATTGGTTGCAGCAAGAATCATCTATGGAGGCTGAAGGATCAAGATAAATGCTTGGTCTCAAAATAACTCCTCTCAGAATGCTCATTAGGAACATATACAGTGGAGAAAGTGGATAACACCTTGGTCAGGTGATAAAGATTAATATCACCTTGTAGTGGACAGATATCTTGTGCCTCCAAATGTAACATCCTGAGGACACACATCATTTACATGGTTGTTTTGAGGGAGGATGCATAACTTGAATCTAATTAGGAGGAAATACGTGCCAATGTGGGAATTTGTATTTGAGGAAGATTCTTTGTAAGGGAATGCATTGCTTTGCTGAGCTCTTAGTCACAGGGCTGTTAAATAATCAAATGCAAACATTCGGTACTCTGATTTTAAGTATTATATTTATAAATTAAAATGCTACATCAACAAAGATTTATTTAACTATGAAGAGATTAGCAGTTTCCCTGGCAGGGATGAGAAAGAACGTGGAGCAGGAAACGGGTCTAGGGAGAGGGGGCATTAAGCTGAGCATTGCCCGTTGTTCTGTTCGTACTTCTTTTCCTTTAAAAAAAAATTATGTATTTTTATTGGTTGACTTTAGACAGGGGCAGCAGGGGGCAGGGGGAGATAGATAGATAGATAGATAGATAGATAGATAGATAGATAGATAGATAGATTTGTTGCTCCTCTTATTTGTGCATTCATTGGTTGATTCTTGTGTGTGTCCTGACCAGGGATGAGACAGGACAATAAGAAACTAGGAAAATTCCTTGGCAAGGGGAACAGGGAAACTAAGATAGTTAAACAAAAATGGCCAGATGCAAAAGGTCACCACCCTAAAGATAACATCTAGGTCTCAGTTGTATTTCAGCTCCAGGCCCAGAAAAGCAACAAAACCAGGTGAACAACGCTAGGATCAGCTTCAATGACTAACACCCTCTTGTCCTGGCACTGACCAATCAGTAGAGACCACGACCCTGAAAGGCCACACTGGAAAACTGATGATTATTCTGCTGAAACCTTTCCTTGGAACTTCCCCTAAGATTCCCGCCCGCAAGAGAGAAGTAAAAGCCTCAAGACAAAGGGACCCAGGGCATGTGCTCTCCCTCTCAGCCCCACTCCCTTTCTTTCTCTTCCCCCCACTTCTTTCCACACAGGCATGTGTCTCCTAAAGTCTAAGGCAATGGGCAATGGGCAGCTGGCAGTATGTCTCAGACTAATCCCCTGAACCTGTCCTCAAAGACCCCTTTTCTCCAACTTTCCAGTTAGCTAAGGCAGCCCAGCCTAAACTCTCTTGTTGCTTCTTCTATGCTAAGCTCTTTCTTGTTTTAACTATCCCCAGGATTTTTAATAAATGTATCCTCATCATCACCTGGACACTGTTGAAATCTTTTCACATTAAGTCAAGAACCCACACACTACAGCTGGCCTTAGGCAGACCCACTCAGGGCCAGGCCAAGCCTGGCCTCCAGTCTGGTAACACTAGAACCTGCAACTTTGGCTTATCTGAGTGATGTTCTGACTAAATAAGCTACCCTCTGCCAGAACCATATTTATTTCTAATTTAACCAACATTTACCCAGCCCTTATTTTTTACTAGGCGCTGTTCTAAGCGGCTTTTACATACTGAGTTTTTAATGCAAAAGCTCTCAGACAATAAAATAAAATAAACAATAAAATAAAATGTAGATTAAATCGCTCAGCAATTGGTCTTTGTCTCCTAAAACAAAACACAGATATGACACGATTTTCTCATCAGCATTTTTTTACCTGTTAAGGCTCTGCTGCAGTGATCCTGTCCTTCGGTGGAAGAACGCGACTCTACAATGATTGAGTTTTTCTAGTTTGCATAGTTGTTTTGTAAAAATGTGGGCAGCCCTACTTTGCAATTATCACACGTTGAGTTCCATTTGAAAAACTTGATTCTTTATTAAAAAGCCTTAAAACCTTAGAAGCACTAAAAGCCGCTTATATACGTTTTGGGGATGCAGGCACTCACATTCTCCTTTCCTTTACGGGTGAACTCCGTATCACGACACTCTCTCTTTTTTTTTTTTTTTTCTCGCCGAAATTGGAACTTCTAAACAACTCCCCCCACTCCACTTTTGGGGAGCAGCTCCGGTTAAATTTGTCGTCAAATCTGCGCGTCTATAACGCAGTGGATTCTGGGCGACCGGTCGCCGTCTGCAGAGACGTACAGACGGGTGTGACGCCAGACTTCAATTCCCACAATGCCCAGAGAGAGTCTGCGATTTTTTTCCGGGTTACCAGGAAATGGCCGCCATCTTGTGCGCTGAGGTGTGGCTGGTTGCTGGGGTCCTTAGAACTGGCCTTTCGGTCTCTTCAAGTCTTTGTTTTGGGGTCTTGTTTCCTCATTTCAGCGTCTCAGGGGACTGTGTCTCTCCAGGATACGGCTTTATTGAGAAGTGAAGGTCAATGCGGAGCTGCGAATAAGGTAAGTAGACACCTCATTTCATGCGTGTGTCGGGAGGAGTGGTGGTGACGTTTTCGATTTTTTTCCTTTTTCCGTCTGCGACGAGTATACTTGCCAGCACTTGGTCGGACTCTTCTGATACCTATAAATGAATTCTTGGCAGAACTCGAACCTGTTTCCGTTGAGACAGAGGAACCAATAATGCACTTTTGCCCCGGCCGCCCACTCCGGAGGCCTTGGGGGCCTTGGGTCGCAGATTTTGCGCACACCGCGCTGTTAGCACTCCCCGCCCCCCTCCGGTTTCTTGGGACTTTTCTGACACGATTGTGGCTGTTTCCTGGAGTTTGGCATTCTTTACCGTTGTGTTTTCCTTGAGACTCTGATCTATCGATACCGTTCTGTTTGCCTTTCTGGCCTTTCCTTTTTCTTCCTGTTGGAGCAGTATCAGGGAGCGGACGGAAGGAAAGTGACTAACCAAGGATTGTTAACCAAGGATTGTATTTTTTTTTTTTTTTTTTTTTTTTAAATAAGATGGGAAGGAGAGAGGGAGAGAAACAGTGTATGGTTGCCTCTCGCGTGTCCCCGGTAATCTAGGCATATGCCCTGACTGGGAATCGAACCGTGATACTCTGGTTCGCAGGCCCGCACTCAATCCACTGAGCTACACCAGCTAGGGCTTCGTATTGTATTTTTGAGCGCCCCTTAGAAATGTCGTGGGAAGCAATTTAATCTTTACCGAGGATCTAGAAGACCCGAGCGCTCTGATCTGGGGGAGTTGCCGGAAGTTCTTCTCTACACACATTTGAGTCATTTGTAGTGCAGCTGAAATACTTTTTTCCTTTTAAGTGAATTCAGTACACCTGTTTGGAAACTACTTTTACACTACTAGCAGGTGTGGAGCCCACAAAGACTGGCATTTCCGTTAACCTGGCGTTTGATAGCCCCGGAGATGTGTTTGAGGAGTTTGGGGAGCCAGATTCATTAACTCCTAAGTACATAGTGGTTTTAAATAGAAGGCGTTTGTTTATGCAGCAATTTATTGCAGCCAGTTTGGTTTGCAGATTATTCTCTTTAGTACACAGTTGTGTATTTATAGCATCAAAGTATATATTATTGATTCAGTTTCCCAAACTTAATAAGCTTTTTAAGTTCTCTAAGTTAAAAAAAATGCATCAGTTAGATTAAAGGTGAGGTGTATCTTTAAAAGAAAAAATTGATTCAGTGAGACCCCTCTCAAGTTACTACGTTATAACAAAAATAGTAAGTGGCTATAAAATTACAGTTCTGTATTTTACTAAGATTTCCCAAAATCTTTGTATTTTGGGAAGATGTTACTATTTACTGTCACAAATGTAAATGTCTTTCTATTTTGTTGTTCCTGAGAAACTTGTTTAGACTTTAAAAAATATCGGCTATTAAATGTGTGATTTATGTGCTCCTCAGATGCCTTATGGTGAAATTGAAGCTAAATCCTTGGGACATGGGGAAGACCTAACAAGTGAACCATGCTACAAAAAACTGAAGTCAACTGAAGAGCCTTTTATTTTTCCCCGTCATGGTATTTCTAATTTTCACAGAGTACAAGAGAAAACTGGAAATGATTGGGTCCCTGTGACTATTACTGATTTCAGAGAATGTAGTTCTCCTCAGGAAGACAAAACCCAAACTACAGATTTGCTGAAACCAGTGCATGATAAGATGCTTAGTAATAGACCAGCTATTACTGAGTCTATTAATTCACAAGTTTTACTGGCTACAAGTCCTCCATTGGTATCCACAGATGATGAGATATACAGCACAAGTAAAGCATTTATAGGACCCATTTACAAACCCCCTGAGAAGAAGAAATGTAATGAAAGGAGGAAGCAAGTAGACAATATCAAGGGTAAAGATGGTGAAGGAGGACAAGATGAGAAACAAAAATTTAACTGTAAAAAATCAGAGATTGATAATGAATTATTCCAGTTTTACAAAGAAATTGAAGAGCTTGAAAATGAAAAAGATGATTCAGAAGGCAGTTGTAAGGAACCCAGACTCTCTGAGGAACAATTTATTTCATATGATCAGGGACATAATAATGATCTGATGAAATACGCAGAAGAAAAGAAAAGAGATCTTAGTAGTGCTCTTCAGTTGCATTGTAATTATCAACAGGATGTGGGGAATGAGCGAGGCAGATATCCTTGTCATGGACAAGTAATACCTACATTTTGTGACGCGTCCTTTACTTCCTTCAGGCATGAATGGCAATCAGTGCATTCTTTTATAATACCCAGAGGTCCTCCTTTTCCCAGCTCTAACTATCATTTAAATATTCAAAGATTCAGTACTCCACCAAGTCTACCATCAAATATTTTCCGCACCCAAGATGGCTCTCAGATTCAAAAAGGAGGTTATGTGAATAACTGTCATGGTAATTGGAATTGTTTGACTTTTGATCAGAACAATGAATATACTGACTTTAGTGAAAATATCAGTAGTGATTTTCCCTTTGGAAACAGCTATACTGTACAAGATGCGAATGTGAGTAGTGGTTGCCGTGAACCTAGTGAAGGATGCTGGAAAGATCCTATAGACAAGCATAATAGCCCAGACAGGTTTATGAACCAGCAGTTTCAAGAGGAGAAGTTAGGTAAATTGCAGAAGTTACTTATTCTTTTAAGAGGCTTGCCTGGTTCTGGGAAAACAACATTATCTCGGTAAGTAAAGGATACCAGGTGAATACTTGGTAATTAATTACTTTAAAATCACAAGTGATAGTAGTAATTAATGACAAATGCTTTCCTGTTTCTAGTTGTGTTTGAGAGTAGCAGGTGATGTGAGGAAGGGGGAATTGGCATGTATATTAGGAATTTGCTTAGGCCTTTAAATAGATACTGTCTAATTATGACAATGGTGAAAGTAAATGCTATTTGAGGACTGCCCTGGCCTTCAGTTTTTAAGTCAGAAATTTAAGAAGAGTTGGGCTTTGACTTAGTTATTTCACTTTAGGACAGTGGACACATTTTATTGTCTAATGAGTAATACTTGAGAAGCAAATGAAATAACCCAAGGAAAAGAATTTTGAGCATGTTTTAAGCACTTCATCCTGGTTATACCATTGACTGGCAGAGGGAACCCGTTTTTAGTTTCTTTAAGGAGTTTGAGGTGAGCAATATACAGGGGTGGGTGAAGTTAGGTTTACAGTTGTTCATATGTAAAGTAATACAGTAAATAATAATTCAAGAATAAACTGCTGTGTGTAACTGTAAACCTACTTTTGTCCAGTTTTGTATGAATTAAAAAGGAGTTAAAGCTTGTGATGTTTTGTCTAAGACAAAATACATCAAATTCATGTTTTTGTTTACATTTTTTAAAAAGACTATCATGTACTTAAGTACATTTGTACAGTTGTGAAAAATAGCACAAAGAAGGACAACACAAATTCTTTGCTGTTTATGTAGGATGATTGAAGGATAAGGAGAAAAGGAAAATTTATGTGGTATCTTTGGGTGAGAATAAAAAATTCCAAGGAACCATTTCATAAATGTTTTATATTTACTTGTAAGACAACGTAAACAATCTAACAAAAGTTTCTTTAAAAGCAAGAAATGAGACAAAGATTTATGATACGGACATTTCAAGTAAAATGTAAGCTGTGATCATTTTACATTAAGTTTAGATGTTTGCATTTTGATTCCTTTCACTTTAGTGAAGATTTTGTAAAGATGAAATTTCAACTCTTTAAAGGATAGAAATTAAGATGAAGTCACAAACCTGGGCAATCTTCTAGATTTAGAATATAGTATCAGAGAAGTATTAGTTGAAATTTGGAAATTTGTTCAAGGGATCTTGCTTAGGGAAAGCTGACTAAATTTTAGAATAAACATAAAGGAAAAAAGATTAGGTTTGGGACAACATATTGGAGTATGTTGAAACTGAAGGTGAATAAGGTAGTGATAATTCAATATAATTTCAGGGAGATAGCTATAGTGTGAGACGATAGAAGTGATAGTATGTAATACATTTCTTTATTTGGGGTATTAGGTGTATGTTATAAGAATAGAAGCTATAGTAACAATTACCATTTGTATCACAATTTATGAGTACTTCCACATATATAAAATCTTGTGATATGGGTTGTATTCTTTTCATTTTATAGAAGCTGAAGAGACTAAATTCAATTTATTCTCTTTATAATAAGAGAATAATATGTTTAAGGGACTTGGAGAATTTCCTAAAACTGGTAAAAAGAACAAACTAGGGATATAAATGAGTGTGTTTCTTCCCTGCTCCTTCACTTTAGTATCTAATGCATGAGTAGCCGTGTGTGTGACTCCTGACTTGGAGGAGCTTGGTTAAAGAAGCAGGAGTATCACTGTAGGTCAAAAATGTTTGAATGAAGTAGGTTTCTTTGGGATTGTATATAAAGCCACATACATACTCTCTGGTAAGGAATGTCTTCTCATAGGAGTTAGCTTTCAAAATGAGCATCGAAGAAAGAAAGGAGCAAAGATTTGGTAGATCAGAGTTGAGCTGATACGGGGTACTAAATTAAAAGTATTGTTTCGTATTGATATGTGGTAATAAGGGGGTTAGATAAAGTTCAAATTCTTTGGGGTATTATTCAAGCCCCCTTCTTCCTTTAGTCTTTACCCATCTCTCCATTTTTATATCTGTCTGCATTTGGACTGGTACCTGCATTCCACTGCAGGAGACATAATACTTGTCCGTTCTTTGTTCTTAGGACTTTGCTTATTCAGAGATTCTCTTAAATGCCTCCACTTTTCAAGGTTTTGGCTTGTGTCAACCCTCAGTAACCCTTTTGAACTCAGTATTTGCCTTTATCCCTCTTTGCCTTTAGCATAAGCTGCACAATTCCTTACCTTTCTATTTGTTGAAAATTGACCTAAGACACTTGGTTAAAGTGGCTGAGGCTGAGTTATTTATGTACAGCTTGGCTAATACATTTTAATAAAATCAGTCTCATTAAATTCTAACACAGGTACAGACTTTAAATATTTATGAGTAAGCTAGTGCAAAATAGTACACACAACCTTTGTAGGTATGATAAAGTGCAAACTGACAGCATTTTGATGAAAGGTTCATTTTAGGCAATTTCAACAATATTCTAGAGGTAGAATTTTGTCACCATTATAACTGGCAACAGCCAAACAGAATCCTTTGACTCAGTGGATAGACACGGCCATTTAGGGATCAGGCATTGAGTATCATTCCCAGGAGTGTGGGCTATAGATTTTGTTAGCTTCTTATACTCTGTTCCATGCAAGGAGGAGGGTTGATTCAAAATATTTTTGTTAATGAACATTTTTAATACTCTACTTGACTTCACCAGTGAGAGAGTGTATTCTTATAAACAAGCCACTGATTTCATTATTATATTAGCAAAATGTCTAATGTTGATCAGAGACAAAAGGATAGGTGAAGCACTTGTCAGAAAGGAGGGGAGATGTTACACTGCTGAAAGACAGGACTGTGATCCAAGATATTTAAGGTGGCCTTTAGAAACTGGAAAGGGCAAGGAAATACTCTCCTTTTGGGCCTCCAGGAGGAATGCCAGCCTGCCACACTTTTATTTTAGCCCAGTGAAACTGATTTTGGTTGTCTGATTTTCGGAAGTATAAGATAATCTGTATTGTTTTTAAGGCACGAAGTATGTGGTGATTTGTTACAGCAGTGTGGGAAACTACTACAATTTATCATAGTTTAAAGAGAGATGGAAACAGATTTTTCCCCCTTTCCCTTTTGGGGGAGATCTTCGTTTAAACTCCAGAGAAAAGGTTTACCTTTCCTTATGTAGGTCTCTATTCTTCATTTACAGAGTGTGCAGAATAAAGTGCCTACATAAAAGGGTTTGAGGCTAGAGGTAAGCAAGGCCATGCAGTACATAAGGAGGTAAAGGGTTCATGAAGTGTCAGATTTTTCTGGGAAAATCACTTCTATTTTAAATGCACATGGTTGTATTTATGAAGATAATGTACAGTTCTTAGAAATTTCAGAAATAAACCCTGGAAATTAGCTATCATAATAGGCCATTTGGGGGAATAGGGTTCCCAAGGTAGGATTTTCTTTAAGTGAAAATATATAAGCATATAGTGCATTAGTTACCTTGTGGCTGTATAATGAATTACCCTAAAAGTGAGTTGTTAAAAGCAACAAACATTTCCTCACAGTTTCTGGAAAAGACAGGAATCTGGGTGCCTCTGGTTAAAGGTTTCTTTTTATTGCTTTTATTTTATTTTGTTTATTGTTTTTTTAAATTTTAATTGTTCAAGTGCAGTTTTCTGCCTTTTTTACTAAAGATGTTGTCTAGGGCTGTGTTCTGGTCTGAAGGCGTGTCTTGGGAGAGGATCTCCTTGGAAGGTCTCTCGTGAGGTTATTGACAAGACTCAGTTGTGAATTTTTGGACTGAGGGGCTCAGTTCCCTGCTGGCAGCAGGCTGGGGACTCCCTCAGTTCTTCGTTACTTGGACCTCTTTCCATTCATAGTTTGATGAGACAAAGTGAGCTAGCACTGAGCCTAAGACAGAAAGCTACTTTTTAAAGTAACCTAATCTCAGAAGCAGCATTTCATTATCTCTTCCATATTCTGTTAGAAGCTCTAGTCACTGACTGAAACCCTCACCCAAGGAGGGTATCATACAAGGGTGTTAGTACCAGGAGTCGGGGATCATTGTGGACCAAATGGTTTTGGCTCTCCCACCACTGTTTAACTCTGGTGCCCTGATTTCTGAGTTATTTTCTTTTCTGATTTGTTTAATATCAAATTACCAAGGTGGTTATGACAATTAAATGAGATCATAAATACTTACAAAATGCTAGGCACATAGTAGATTCTCAAAAAGAGCAGTTTTGAAAATATGCAAACCCAGTGGCCATTGGGCTTACATTTGAATTTTTTATTAGATACTTGGTTTTTCAGAGTTCTAAATTTTGACATTCTGAGCATCTATTTTAGTATCTGACTTATAAGAATTCTGACAGGGCCCTGGCTATGTGGCTGAATTGGTTGGAGCATTGTTTCCATGCACCAAAAGGGTTGCAATTTCTGTTCCCAGTCAGGGCACATACCTGGGTTTGATCCCTGATCAGGGTAAGCACGGGAGGCAACAGATTGATGTGTGTCTATGTGTCTGTCTGCTTCTCTCTTTCTGTCTTTTCCTCTTTCACCCCTCCCCTCTCCCTCTCCCTCTCCCCTCGCCTTCCTTCCTCTCTATAAAATCAATAAACATATCCTCTGGAGAAGGTAAAAAAAAGAATGCTGGTAGAATCTATAAGAATGTTGAAAAAAAATACTAACATTCTTAAAATATTTTTTGTTCAAGTGGTTAATATGATAATCAGATATATTCAGATTGATACAGGCATTTTAAATATAAGTCCCCCAAGTAAACCTTCATAGTTTGAGATAATTCAGAGAGTTTTCAAAGGATGCATAAGCAGTCTATGCTATCTGGGAAGAAAAAGTCTCTGTAAGCTAAAATTATTTGTTATAATTATGATTTATAGATTAAAGATGTTCTTTATAAAGATTCATGTTTGATATTGACTTGGTCTAATGATATAAATTAATTTACTGTCCACCCCCCCCTTTTTTTTAATTTGGGAGAGGTTAAAACATTTCTTGAGCACAAAAGCCACTTTACTCATGTAGTATGGTATTATTAATATCTGAGAAGTCATGGGCTAATCAAGTAATAGAAATTTGGGAGAGATGGTATCAGTCTTCTAGCACTGTTAAATATAATTAGGTATTGTATGGTTTCTCAAAATCTTTTTAGAAGATTGAGTTCTGGTCTAGGCTATCTGTATAAGCAAATAAGATGCCAAATACATTAGATGGAAATATTTTGGGAAAATTATGGCTGCTTAAAAAACATACAGAACCAACTTCCCAAACAAATTTAAACCGTTTATTTTCATTTGGTTTGTTTGAAGTAATTTTAACTGTTATTCTGAGTGAAAATATTTAAAATTTTTTATTTCAGTGTATGCAATTCTATTTTTATTACAAATATATACGATTTTATTATACACTGAGAACAGGAGAGAGAGATGTTTATCATAATAGTTGAAATCCTTTTGTTACTTTTTAATTAGGAAGTACATATTCTTGAAACATCCCAAGATAATATTCTTTTACTTTGATCCCTTCTACCACCTTCTGCTCCCCTCCACCTCTCACAAAATTATAGAACCATGTCTGATTGCCTAGTGATTGAGGGAGAGGATAGAAATAACAAAATACTTTTGTTATTGTTGGATGCAAATCATTTTTTTACCTTTGTTTTCCCTTTCTTAGCATACCCAGTCTTTTTCATGAATCACTAGTTATGGGAATTCTCTGACACTAGAATGCTTATTCATCTCACTGCTTAGGCATTTGAGGTGATCATATTTTGAGAACAAATCTTGGTTGCCATTGACTTTTTTCAAGAGTGTGTTCTTTTATTTAGTGTTGTTATTTCATTTGGTAATTTAATGTCTCAAAAATCTAAAGTTTGAGTATACTGTGGAGGATCACAGGTTGATTCACAACCTTAAGCCTCAGGCTATTTCTGACTCCTACTTGCTGGTTTTATGTTTGTGCTTCATAGAAATAGGTTTATCAAAGCCGTCTTGGATTAAATACAGTCTTCCCACAGATGAATTACTTGCTTAGTCTTACTTGCCTTTTAGGTTACCTGCTACACTAAATTTAGGCAATTTTGGACACTCAATACACATTCACCTAAGTTAAAACATGGAAAACTGGTTGACATAATTTTGCGATTGGTCGAAAGACTTTTTAAAGTTACAAGTGTCGCTTTAAAAAAGTTTTTGATACTGGGTATGTAACTATGTAGATTTAAGTGTGAATTGAATTTGAGATTTGAAAACTTAAAAATTTTAAGATTCAGCTTCTCTGTTATTCTGTTTTGCAGTATACTTACAGGTATGTACCCAAAATTTATAATAAAGTTTCCTGTGTGGCTTATTTCCGGCAGCTATAGATTTTATAAATGGCACTTTATGATTTTTTTTTATTAACAGAATTCTGCTTGGTCAGAGTCGTGATGGCATTGTGTTCAGCACTGATGACTATTTTCACCATCAAGATGGGTACAGGTATAATGTTAATCAGCTTGGTGATGCTCATGACTGGAACCAGAACAGAGGTTTGTTTTGGGCCAAGTCTCCCGGTATAAAATATTTGAGTGGGGAGTCAGAGGACCTGGGTTTTTATTCTCAACTTGACTTTTATCAGCTGAATGACTTTCACAGACTGTTTGAACAGCTTTGAGACCAAATTTTTTCACCAAATAGAAGGAGTGATGATTGCAGGGTTGTTGTGAAAATCAGAGAATTTAAATAGAATATTTTGTAGTGTACCAATACAAACTGGTAGAGGAGTGGGATATTTTAGTAGGCTTTATATCTCCTGAGTAAATTCAAAGAACTCTGATGCTATGTCTTCTCAAAAGTTATTTTTCTAAGAGTAATGCTAATGTTTTCTAAGACTCAGTATAATGCTTTGTGGATATTAAAAGTTTTCATTATTGATACTACTCTGAAAACTTGGTTGAATACATTTTTTAGAGACACATAAGTCACTTTCTTTGTACCTTGGAATAGTGGGTCTTATTCTTGGATGCACATTTGAATTGCTTGGCACCTTTTTTGAAAACCTGTGTCTGAATCAGCCTCAGAGATTCTGATTTAGTTGGTCTAGAGTGGATCCAAACATTGGTATTTTTTTTTAAAGTTATCCAAATATTCACATGTTGCAGTCAGATTGAAAACTTGATCTAGAACTATGTAAGTAAATGAACATAGTATAAGTGAATTTCTTTTTCAATAGATGAAGAGTGCACTATGATTCAACAAATTGATTTATTAACTAAAAAATTTAAACCTAGAGTTGAGAGATTACAATGAATTCCATATACCCATCACTTAGAATTATCAGTTACCAAGAGTTTGCTGTATTGGCTTTATTCTTTTTGTTTTCACTCCTCTTCTTTTCTAATTACTGAAGTATTTTAAAACAATTCTACACATTATACTATAGGCATTTTAAATTAACCACCTTCTTACTTAGTATGTTCTTTAACTATAGTGCCACCATCACACCTAAAGAAAAAAATTCCTTGACATCATGTAATACTGTCTGTAATCGTATTTCCCCAATCATTTTAACTGTTTGTTTACAGTTATTGTGTTTGAATCAGGATCCAAACAAGGTCCTTACAGTACATTTAGTTTTATGTTTCTTTTAATTATTTACTTGTTGCAGTTTTCCCTCTTTCACCCTCATATCATTAACTTGTTGAAGACAAACTTAGTTTTTCCTGTAGAATATCCCATATCCTGTAGTTCTCTTATTTGCTTCCTTGTATGAACATAAGAAATATCCAGACCTGTTAAGAATTTTTATGAGTTTATTTAAGCAAAACTGACTACAATTACTGGAAAGTAAAATCCCAACGAATTGAGGAAATGCTCTGGAAAATGGCAGTTTTACCACTTTTTTTACCTCAGAATCAAAGGGGAAAGTGTAAGAGGGTTACATGAAATTCATTGGTAATAGGTTAGGGAGGTAGGAGAAAGCAAAGGAAGGAGATATCTGAGATTAGATAAAAAGTAAATTCCATTTATACTTTTTTTACATTGATGGGATAGATAATTAATATTTACAGCAGGTAAAGATGGAATGTAGGGGAATGAGATAACTATGTCTTGTGCTCTGGTGGGAGGTTGTGCCTGAGGGGTCGGGAGAGAGGGATTACTCTGATTCCAAAGGCATGTTATTTCAGATGGAAAAAGCAATAGTTAAGCTCAAGATAAAGATTGACCTTCTCACCCTAGCTGTTGTAGCTCAGTGGATTGAGCGCGGGCCTGCGAGCCAGACAATCGAGGTTCGATTCCAGTCAGGGCACATACCTGGGTTGCAGGCCGGTTTCCTGCAGGCCAGTTCCCAGCAGGGGATGCACAAAAGGCAACCATACATTGATGTTTCTCTCCCTCTCTCTCCTTCCCTTCCCCTCTAAAGGTAAATAAATAAAATCTTTAAAAAAATAAATAAATAAAAATTAAAAAAAAAAAAAAAAGATTGACCTTCTCAAGGAAGATACTGACCTAGGATATGACTGTCCACCGTGACTTGCTTTTTGTTAGGAGGTTTTAATTTCAGACCATCTTACATGGTTACTTTGGGTTTCTTGAGTTTGTAAGGCCTTCATGTAGGCCTCCCCTGAGCTTGTCAGGTTTAGCATGTGGCTCCCTTTTGTCCACATTTGTGGTAACCATTTAACTCTTTCTCCTGTATTGACTTAAATGGAAGTTACCAGTAACTCTAGATTGGAGTATTAATTAGGTTCTATTTTTTTACAGGGGGTAAGGAGAGTCTGGTTATCCCATTTTTAATGATGCTGAGAATGATCAGTCACTTCTGTAATGAGAACATCCTCTCATCTAGAACTAGCATCATCCTAAAGTACAGTATGTACAGGAAAAACAGGATCAATGCTTTTCTTTTTAATTGTCATTTTTCAGAATAAGAAATTTCAGGGAGGATATTTTTGAGTAAAAATTTCACTCTATTGTAGTCCATGGTTCCACAGGCAAGTTTAAATGTCAGATAAATTGGACTATAATGCTACTTCCTAGTATTGGTTCTATGACATTCTGGGATTTCTCCAAATATATTGGAGAAGGAAGCATAAAAATCTCAAAAATACGAATTTTTGTGATTTTTAGAAAATGCCATAGGACATTATTGCCAAAATAATGTTGATATTGCAGTTCCAAAAAAAATGTTTCGTGTTATGGGCCTAATGTTAGCGGAATAAGAGTAGATGATAAGTGGAATGAACAGAGGTACTGGGCAGAGTTAGTATACCTTTAGTGGACTGGGAAGCTTGTTTATGTGAGACAGTTTTTCTCTTTGGAGAACTAGTCCAGAATTTTCATTAAAAGGTTCATACCATCTAAATTATACTGTAAAACAATGCTTTCTAGATAAACTACTGGTTTTATTAGTATAAAAGAATATTGGCTTTTAAAAAAAGTAGTATTTACCTTTTTCAGGTAATAATAACTAGTAATAATTAGACATTTTGAAATTAAAGCATGACTTTATTTAGGGCAGAATTGCTCTTTTCAACAAATATTTACTGCATACTTAAATTGCTGGCCACCATTCTGGGAATATCTATCTGCCTCATTTTTTATTAGAAGAATGTACTGTATTTTGCCATGTATAATGTGCACTTTGTCCAAATTTTTAATGGAAAAATAGGATGCACATTATACATCGGTGGTACTAATTCCATGTCTCTAAATGTTTTTTAATTCTTTTATTTATGCTTATGCATTAAAAGTGTAACTCTAGAAAGTAATAATGATATCTGTATGCAGAATAATACCCTAGAATATGATAATCGGCTTTGTAATACCAAATTTCTTGTACTGTGCATCTATTCTTGTGTTTTGTAATTATTTGTTAGATAAAATTTCTTGTACCATAATATGTTCAAAAATAAATTCTAGAATTCCTTTATAATACAAAAAAAGTATATCTAAATATAAATAAATAAGTAAATAATTGGATTAAAAAATTTAAATGAAAGTTTTTTTTTTTCCCGAACATTTAGGCCAAAAATGTGAGTGTATATTATACATAGCAAAATACAATAAATTCATTTTAGACTGCTTTAAATTGAAAGTGTCTCCAAGGTGTCATTATTCTCCTTAGAACATGGTGGTTAATTTGTTTAAGAAAATGACATTCATTACTCATGATGTCATGTTTCCTATTTAACCATTGTTTTTTTTGGGAGCTCTGTTCTCCTCGAGTGCTCTGGAATGTGGTATTTAGTGATGATGATTCAGGAAAGAGGATGATCTCCCCATTATTTGGTTGATAAACTGTTCTTTTGGAATATCACTTCTGGGATGTGTAGGCCTGTCAGACATTAGGAGAATTACTTTACTATGGTTTTTTTTTGTTTTGTTTTGTTTTTTTCAATAAAAGACTTTATGATTTTATGATTGGGGATAGATCAGTGGGAAAAGGATAGCATTTTGGTGACCTGTTTATGACCCAATTCTAAATTTCTTCTGGTATGTAGAGACATCTCCAAATATGCACTCAACCATAGTCATTACTCCTTAGCTAACTAACCTTTATAATTCTGTTTTCCCTGGACCGCTATATAAATGTATTCATTATGTAGAACTTAAGTTTTGAATTCTAAATCCCAAGAAAATTTCCATATCGTTGCATTTTACCTCAGCATTTTCAGTTTTATTTGGGTTCTTAATTATATTTTTCTGTTTACACTTAAGGTGTACAGACTCCTGTCCTCACAGTGGCTCACTGTGGCAGTGATTCTTACCTCATGGGGGAAGATATGGTATAGGAATAGGGGGATAGAGTTTTTAAAAGTTCCATTCTATCTCAGCTCTCAGTTTAAGAAACATAGTCCTGAGAAATAATAAGCTTTTATGAGTAAACTAATCTTGGTTGTAGGTTCATGCTTTTCTTTTTTAAAAGTTTTAATTACAGTAGTCCCAAGTTTTCACCCTTTGTCCCCCTTTCCATCCAGTGTCCTCCACTCCCTTAGGCAGTCCCCATACCTTTGTCCATGTTCATGGGTCATGTGTATATGTTCTTTGGCTACTCCATTTTCTATACTTTACATCCACATGGCTATTCTGTAACTACCAATTTGTACTTCTTAGTCTCCTCATCCCTTTACCCATTCCACCAAATCCCTCTCCCATCTGGCAACCATCAGAACATTCTCCAAATCCATGATTCTATCTCTGTTCTTGTTTGCTTAGTTTGTTTTTTAGATTCAGTTGTTGGTAGATATACATTTATTGCCATTTTATGGTTCATACATTTGATTTTCTTTTTCTTAAATAAGTCCTTTAACATTTCATAAAATAATGGTTTGGCGATGATGAACTCCCTTAGTTTTTTTTTATCTGGGAAGTGCTATATCTGGCCTTCGATTCTAAGTGATAGCTTTGCTGGATACAGCAATCTTGGCTGTAGATTCCCACTTTTTATGACTTTGAGTATTTCTTGCCAATCTCTTCTAGCCTGCAAAGTTTCTTTTGAGAAATCAGCTGACAGCCTTATGGGAACTCCCCTGTAGGTAGTTAACTGCTTTTCTCTTTGTGTTTTTAATAATCCTCTTGTTATCTTTAACCTTTGGCATTTTAATTACAGTGTATCTTGGAGTGGGCCTCTTTGCATCCATCTTGCTTGGGACTCTCTGTGCTTCCTGGACTTGTATGTCTTTTTCTTCCACCAGATTAGGAAAGTTTTCTTTCATTATTTTTCAAATAGATTTCCAATTTCTTGCTCTTTCTTTTCTCCTTCTGGCACCCCTTTGATGTGAATGTTGGACAACTTGAAGTTGTTCCCGAGTCTGCTTACACTTTTCTTGTTGTTTAATTTTTTTCTTATTCTGATTGGTTGTTTTTTTTTTCTTATATTGCAAATCCTTGATTTGATTCTTGGCTTCATCCACTCTACTGTTGATTCCTTATAAATTGTTCTTTATTTCAATTAGTATATCTTTAATTTCTGGCTGGATTTTTTAAATGCTATTGAGGTCCTCACTGAGCATCCTTATAACAACCAGTGTTTTGAACTCTGCATCTGATAGATTGCTTATCTCTATTTTCTTAATTTTTTTTTTCTGGAGTTTTGACTGTTTTTTTTTTTTTTTTCCCATTTTAGACCATGTTTCTTTGTCTCCTCATTTTGGCAGCCTCCTTGTGTTTTTTTTCCCTATGTATTAGGGAGAGTTATTACTACCTGTCTTGGTAGCTGGGCCTAATGTAGTAGGTGTCCTTGTAGGATCCAGTGGGAGAACCTCCCCTATCACCCAAGCAGTATACTTGAGAAGCACCTTCCATGTTGGCTGAATTATATCCTCCCCTTGTAGTTGAGGCTTGATTGCTGTTGACAGATCAGATGGAGAAATTTACCTAGGCCAGACAGCTGCAAGGCCCATTGACTACTGACATCTACCCTGTGGAGGATTGGCTATGCAGGGTCAGGGTGGTGGTCTCTCTATGTGATTTGTAGCTAGGTACACAGGTCCTGGGGTTTCTTGGGTGTTGCAAGCAAAGGTCAGCCCCCAACTGTGTTCTGTCCTTGGACACTCTGCAAGAGCTACAGAGCATTCTGCAAATGGCTAGTGCTTCTGCTGAGCTTGGAGGTCCCCAGGTGAAGTCAAGCTTTCAACCTACGCTGGCTGTTGCTAGTGCCAGGCCTGAGGCCCCTTGGCAAGAAGTATGTGGGCTGGGGGCTTGCTGAGCTGGCTGTTGCTTGTTTGAGAGAATTTAGGAAATCGTGAAGCATGAGCCAAGACTAGCCATTCATTGTGGAAAAGCCACTGTTAACAGCTTAGGTGGGTCTGTAAGTTGGGTCGGGTAGAGCCTTGGGGAATCACCAGAACCAGATAAACAGTGTTATCCATGGTGATAGAGTCTCAGATATGGCACCCAACTGTTGGCTCTGTGGCTTTGTGTAGGTGGGGCTCAAAAAGGAAGAATGGCCACTGCCCACCTTTCTGCCTGGGACAAAGCTGTCCCCCAGCTCTCACCATGATGCCATACACTTCATTTCCTACCTATATGCCACTGATGCTGTTCAAGCTGCTACACCAGTGCTGGAGCTCAGAGGGAGTGAGTCTGATTAATTCCATGTGGGTTCTTTAAGTGGATCTGCTTGGGTAACTAGCAATTTCTTCCACTGATTCAATCCCTGCTGGTTTTTACAGACGGAAGTTATGGTGACTTATCTTCCTGGCACTGGAATCCTGGGCTGGGGTACTGGTGTGTATGGTGGGATCCCTTGCCCCCGAGATAATACCTCCTGAATTTTTATCCACCACATGTGTGTATAACTAGCCCATTTAGCATCTCTGCCCCTCCTACCTGTCAGATGGATGTTTTCTTTACTTCTGTAGTTGTCAGACTTCCATTCCACTCAATTTATGATGGTTCTGATTAATTGTTGTTCCATAATTTAGTTAATTTTGATGTGGCTGTATGAGGAGGCAAGCCATGTTTACTTATGCCTCCATCTTGACCAAAGTCCTGGTCCTCACTTTTCATTACTATGAATATTTCTTGCCACTCCCTTAGGCCTGCAAGTTTCTGTTGAGAAATTAGCTTACAGTCTTTGGGAGCTTTTTTGTAGGTAACTAACTGCTTTTCTCTTGCTGCTTTTAAGATTCTTTGTCTTTAACTTTTTGCATTTTAATTTTGATGTGCCTTGGTGTGGCATCTTTGAGTTCATCTTATTTGGAAATCAGTGCATCTGGACTTGAATCTAAAACCAAAATAAACAATGAGGGCAGAAATAGACTTATAGATACAGTGAACATTTTGAAGAGTTGCCAGATGGGAGGGTTTGGGGGGATGGGTGAAGAAGAGGAAGGGGTTAAAAGTACAGATTGGCTATTAAGATAGTCACAGGATTGTAAAGTACAGCATAGGGGATATAGTCAATAATATTGTAAACTGTCTGATGTCACATAGGTATGAGATTTATTGGGATGATCATTTAGTAAGTTTTATAACATCTAAACACTGGGGTGTAAACCTGAAACTAATAGAATATTGTATGTCAACTGTAATTGAAAAATAAACTTAACCACATAGTCAGTTGAACTGTGGTATTTTGCTAGTGTGTGTATGTATTTATCATTACTTACTGACAAAACTTTTTTGTCAGTATTGATAAATACATGGCACTTTTTAAAAATATAAGTCTTATTTCAAAAGCATTATTTGTGCCCTGACAGGTAGCTCAGTTGATAACAGCATCATCTTGATGCACTGAATGCATTATTTATAATTGTAAAGCATTTGGAAAATACAGATAAGCATAAAATGGCATGTAATTCTCACCACCAATAGATAACTACTATTTTTTTTTAAAGATTTTATTTATGTTCAGAGAGAGGGGAAGGGAGAGAGAAAGAGACGGAGAGAAACAGCGATGTGAGAGAGAAACATCAATTGGTCGCCTCTCGTATACTCCCTAAAAGTACAGAACCTGTGACCTTTCACTTTGTTGGATGACGCCCAACCAGAGCAATGACCACTTGATTTTTTAGTAACTCTTCTCAGGTCTTTGTAGTTTGACCAAAATGTTAGATCATATTACATGTTGTCTTGCAACCTGCCATTTTCAGTTAATGAAGTTCCAACTTTCCTCGTCAGTAAATGTTGATGACCTTTTACATTCAGACCATATTCAAATATAACTTATTCTTGTATTTCCTATAAATGAAAGTTAACTGCAGACTAAACTCTTCATTAGCTATAAGCGCAACAAAATTTTTTCCCAGAATGTACTTTACCATGTAGTCAGAGCCAGCATTTGGTCTGGAGAATATACATGGTGTGTGGTTATGTCTCCTTATTTCTTTTTAACCTGGTGGGTTCCTTTTTTTCCCATGGCACTGACTCAAGAGATTGCCTAGCTTTGGTTTTCTGTACAGAGGATGTAAAAATTTCTTATAGTGAAAGTTTACATTTTATTTGTCTTTTAAATTCATTTTTTTATTTCAGCTAAACAGGCTATCAATCAGGGGAGATCTCCAGTTATAATAGACAACACTAATACACAAGCTTGGGAAATGAAACCCTATGTGGAAATGGTAAATATGAGATATGGGACAGTTTTTATATTTTTGTCAATTTTTTAATATTCCAGAATTTTGGTTACTTTGATCTTTATTATTAAAACATTGTTCTTGTTTTCTAAAGAGGTATGTTTGTTTACTTAGTTTTAAAACTATGGGAATGATGTTTATCATGTTCATCTTGCCTGGACTTGAGGATAGTAATTGGAAGTTAACAACCAGTTAAGTGGTCTTAAAATTTTTGTAAACCATATTATTTTAAAAGTAAAATTTTTCTTGGTGGACCAAATTTAGAAGTATTGTCTAAATGCAATTTATATTTGCCTTCTTTTTACTTTTAAGAAGTGTTCTCTGGGTTTGTGTTTTTTTCCTTTTGTTTGTGTAGGCCATAGGAAAAGGATACAGAGTAGAGTTTCATGAACCTGACACTTGGTGGAAATTTGATCCTGAAGAATTAGAAAAGTAAGGCACTCAATTGATTTTGAATCTTCTTCTTTTTTCCTTTTCTTTCCATAGTCATTGTCTTTACTAGCTTTGCTTATTTATCATGTCTTTGATACTTACGATTATGGAGTACGTGTTTCTGTTAAGAGGGACATTGGCTTTAATTCAGTGGGCTTTTTTTTTAAAGAGGCTCCTTGCTTGTTAAATTTTACTAAATTTTTCTTGTTAATTGTGTTTGAAGGACAGTTAGGACTTTTCCACCATGTTTTTTAGCTAGGCTTCTTCTCTGCATAACCCTTCCAAAATCATTACCTTCCCGTTTTAGCTTCCATCACTTTTTTACCTGGTGCTTTCATCTTGCTCCTTCTTTTCCTATAAGAATCCGTTTTTTTTTTTGGAATTCAGTTTGGGGTTTTTGTTGTTGTAGTTGTTGTTAGAAAGGTAATATAATGCATGTACCTAATCATAACACCCCTTAGCAGAGTTTGGGCAGATTATCATCATCCAACATCTTACTATTTCTGCAGCAAGTCTTGATTAATTAGTCTTAGTAGGTAAGAAAGACTCCACATAATCTGTCCTCAGTTCAAGTAGATCATGTTACCAGATGAGCACAGGTCTGGTTAGATTTTGCTACCATGTGAGTGAACAGAAAACAGTTCTCAGAGAATTGTAGGTTTCAGAATTTGTGGTAAAGGAGTGTGGACTTGTGTTACTTTCAACCCTGCTTTCCTATTTGTGTTTACCTTTATCCTTTCTCTTCACAGCCCTAGTTTTTTGACTATGATCTTTTTTCCCTTCACCTCCACTTCCCTACCCCTTTTTGGTAACAACTTTGAGATATAATTCACATGCTTTACAAGTTACCCATTAAAAGTGTATGTAGTTCAATGTTTTTCAAGGTCTGTCCCGAAAAAGTCTAGCCATTGTTAATATAATGAGAATAGTTTGCAAAACTTTGATGTAACCTGGCAGCCAAGGAGAGTGGACTAGAATGTGTGTGTGTGAACAATGACAGCTTCACTGTAGTCAGTGGGGGTGGTAGATGCCATTGAGTGAGCATATGTACTATGTGGCCTCCATATTCAAAATGACTGAGTAGAGCAGCATTAAGCTTGAATTTTCCTCTGTGGAAACTGTTCAGATGATTGAAAGGACCACTGCTACAGGCAGCTGGTGATTGGCAGCTTCATTATGACATTGTACCTACTTGTGTACCACATCCTGCTGAGTTTTTTGTTGAAACATCAAATCACCCAGGTGCCTCAGCTCCCCTACAGCCCAGATTTAGCATCCTGCAACTTCTGGCTTCTCCCAAAACTAAAATCATCTTTGGAAAAGAAGACATTTCAGACTGTCAATGAAATTCAGAAAAATACAGCAGGGCAGCTGATGGTGATTCCAACAAAGGATTTTGCAGAGAGATTTCCCTGGGAAAACTGTGAGGCCCCAAGGTGCCTGCTTTGTTTTTTGTATCTTCTTCAATAACTATTTTTCATATTACATGGCTGGATACTTTCTGGACAGATCTCACAGAGTTGTGCAACCATCCTTCCCCTTTTTTTAAATAAATATTTTATTTATTTATCTTTAGAGTGGAAAGGAAGGAGAGAGGAAGAGAAAAACATCAGTGTATGGTTGCCTTTCGTGCGTCCCCTGCTGGGAACTGGCCTGCAGGGAACCAGCCTGCAACCCAGGCATGTGCCCTAACTGGGAATCGAACCTCGATTGTCTGGTTCGCAGGCCCGCGCTCAGTCCACTGAGCTACACCAGCCAAGGCCATCTTTCCCTTTTTTTAAAAACCATTTTTATTTCTCCCACCTCAGTTTGCCCTCTTCCAGTTTAAAGTGTTATTCTGTGAGGTGTCCAATTAATTTCTTTCTCCTTTGCCTTTTATTCCTTTGGTTACCTTACTTTTCCTTTTTGATTAATATGCTATGTATTCATATATGACTAAATAAACTGATAGACTTACTAATATCTGGTGGTATTTATCTGCTCTGTGTATATTGCACCTTGGGTAGTAGAGACAGAAGTTTAAACACTAGAGAGATTTGGTTATGTTGCACAACAGATTGATGAAATATAGTTAGACTTTGTTTACATTTGAGGAACTGTTGACTTCACAAACTACAGTTAACTGATGTTTAGTATAGTTTGATTTAATTTGTATAGAACTGATTGAATCATCAAATTTGGCATCTTGTGGATTTAGTCTCATCTTGCCAATTTCCAGCCTGAGATTTCTTTTTTTGCTTTTTCTTTCTTTGTGCTTTCTCTTCTCAACTTGAATAAAAGCATCAGTAGTTTTTAAAAGTAAATATTTCTTCTGTGTCCTTTTTCTGGAGAAAATGAATTAATAAATCTATAACATTAGATGTACAGTATGTTTATTTGTGTTTTGCCGTGTCCAAGTCAGGTTACAGAAAGCCATGAATTTTTAAAAAGTTCTTTGAGGGTCAAGAATAATTTTTAAACCACTTCTGGTTTTCCTAATTAAACTCATAGAAAATATATAAAATATAAACATGGCTTAACAAATTGCTATATAAGGCAAATATTCATCTAACCATTACCCATATCATTGGAGCTTTATCAACAGCTCAGAAGTTCTTCGTTTCTTTTTCCAGTAACAATTCTTTGGTAATTTCTTTCTTGCTTTTCTTTAAAGCTTTTGTTTTTTCCTAAAACGTCTTTTGCCATAACACCATAGTTTAATTTTGTTTTTTCCCCCAAGCTTTATGTAAATAGAGTCATATAGTACATATTTATTATGTCCATTTTATTTTGCTTAACATAATGTTTGTGAGATGTGTCCAAATTGTTGATGTAATAATTTGTACTGTTTAATAAATTTTAAAAATGCAACAGGACATGTCCTAAAATAACTTTTTAAAAAGTGATAAATATTTGATAATTGACTTTTGTCCTACAAGTCTGCTCAATTCTATAATTCTCAAAACAGTTTCTCATTATCTTTGATTTTGTTATTTAAAAAGAGGGGGATTAGCTCAGTGGTTCAGTGAATCATTAGTTGGTTCTGTGTGATGAAGGTATAAACAGTTAACATTTTGCTTTGATTTACAGTATCTTTAAACCTTTTTAAAGTACTGTTAAAAATTTTGAGAGAGCCAGTATAAATTTTTTTGTTGTAAAATGTGGGTAAATGAGATGTGTTTTATAGTATTTATTTGCAAAATATAATTTAGAGTCTGCACTCTATTACACTAAGACAGCTTACTCTCTATAACTATAAATTCTTTAAAGAATTAAAATCCTTTTCTTTTTTGTTAGGAGGAATAAACATGGTGTGTCTCGAAAGAAGATTGCTCAGATGTTGGATCATTATGAATATCAAATGTCCATCTCTATTGTAATGAATTCAGTGGAACCAGTGCACAAAAGCACACAAAGACTTCACCCTTCAGAAGAGAGACAGAGGTGGGGAAACTCTCTAGGCTCGCATAATCCAGTGTGTGTCACATACAATCATTAAGGTAGCTATTTTCAGCTAACACATTTGTTGTTTGCCTTTGAAAAATATTAGCCTTTCTGAAGTCTAGGTAGTTTTAAATTAAAAAAAAAAAAAAAAAGACTGCATCGCTTCACAAAGGATATTCCTTCCCAGCAGTTTAAAGTATAAATAAAAATTATGTAAAATTATATTTTAAATGTTTTTATAATCTTGTAATACCTTAGGTTAGTATGAAGACAGACACCTGAGTGGGTAAGAACCAGAATGTTTTCCACAATTGAATTTTAAACTAATTTTATCTATTTTGTAGAGAATATTGAATACTTTTATAATTTATACCTAAAACAAAATTTTCATAAAACTTGAGTACTTTTCATTAAGTACTTTAAATATACAAGAAATACTAATTTGTTACAGGCACCATAGTTGATTCACCTGTTTATTATGTAGGTAAAATTACATTTCTGCAAATTCTCTGTGTGACAGAAATATTTCTAAGCTATAATTAATATATTGGTTAGTTGAAATGCAGTTCTTCATCAAATGCCACATAGTAGGTGTATCAGTTGGCTGAGGAGTTTTCTCCATAATATACATATTTATAATAGAATATATTTGGATTTATCACCTTCTGAAGCCATCCCTTTCTCCACAGCTTTCTGATTCTGGAATGGACAAATAGTGAAATCACTATATAATTAGGAAAAGCTCCTCAGGCTAGTCTGATATGTCACTTTTCTCTATTTAGCACATATAATTCTAATTCAGAAATGTATTGGGCAGTTTCCTAGCATTAATTATAAGAGGATTAGTCCTGTAGGATATTTAATTTCTACTGGTTTTAATTCTTCTCTAGAGCCAACCATATATTTCACTGGGTCTGTTTCTTTGTTAGATAAAACTGAAACTTAAATTCATTTCAGAGATCTTATAATTCATACTAATCTTTGCTTTCATTTGCTCTTTTTTAAGGAAGAAAACCCCCAGCTAATAGATGCTATTTTAAAATATAATCACTATAATTCTTCGTGTTTTACATGCTGATATTTCATACCCTTCACAGCAATTATTGCAGTTTTATGTGGTACTCAAATATGAATGCAATAACTGAGAATTCAGTTAATAGGGTTGAAGGGTTTTTTTTGTTGTTGTCTTGTTTTTAAGATTTTATTTATTTATTTTTAGAGAGAGGGGAAGGGAAGGAGACAGGTCCATCAGTTGCTTCTTGTACTCACCCCAGCCAGGATGGCAGGCAACCTGGACATGTGCCCTGATTGGGAATTGAACCAGTGACCTTTTAGTTTGTCAAACGATACCCAACTAACCAAGCCACAGTGGTCAGGGCAGAGTTGAAGTTTTTAATGTGTGTTTTTGTTTTAACATCTGCAACCCATAATAAATGAAGCTTCTTAATTTAGAATCACAACAAACTATTTTTTAGTTTTGTTACAGTGACCTTTTAGAATATTTGGAGGCAGCAGAAGGAAAAGATTGAGTTTAGTGGTTTTTAGAGTTTTATGGGCTACAATTTGTAAATAATTTTTTTTCCATTAAAGTTGTTAGCTATAATTGTGTATACATAGGAAAAGGAGTGATTAAATTAATGAATTAATTTTTTTGTGATTAATTAAATTAAGGAATTTTTTCTTTCTCCTTATAATTAAATAACATTACCATCCCAATTTTTATTTTTAAAAATTATAGTGCTATAAAACCAGTTAGTCTCTGTATGTATATCAGATTTTCTCATTAAAAGTATTCTTAGGGTGGTAAGAAGCCATGTTTGTTGATGTAGATTTTGAAAGAGGAGTAATTAGTTAGTGTCTTGTGTCTTTTTGATTCCTTATACTTTGCAAAGCAAATTCAATTAATTCAGTTTATTTGATTTAAATTGCCAAACATATTAAGTATAAAACGTTTTCACTGTAGCATGATTTGTAAATTTCATGCCAAACCTTTAAAAATTTATAATTAAGATTTTTGCAGTTAAATTCAGAGATTTTGTAATAGAACAGTTATAATTTATATCTTTTGACTATACCAGTTGTTGTAATATAGGATACATGTGTGTGAATTTTGAATATATTTCCTATGGAAATACATGTGTTGTCACTATAATGCTATGCACAGAATCAAGGGAAAAGAGTAGCACAAATAACTCTTTGGAAAGAGATCCGCAATAATAAATAGTTATTCTCAAAACTGTGTCTCTTGGAAAGTTCATGTTTTGATACATTTAAAAGTCTCTTCTAGTCATTTACCTTAGAAGTCATCTCTTTTTCTTTCTTACAGATTTAGTTTTTTGAATGATAACCCTGTCACATTCCAGGTGTTGTAATTACAGTAATTACATATATAAGACACTTCCCAATATAGAAACCAGTAACTTCAGTAAGCTGTCTTAAATTTAAATGAGAGTAAAATAGATTATTTTTATTTTGCATGGGCACAGCCATAGTCTCCCCTAATATTAGAACTATACACAAACACTATACCTACTTGATGAGTAACTAAAGATTTTGTCTAGGAATGCTGTCCAGTTCATATTTCCATGTTGTACTTCTTGTAAATTAATGGGAAGATCGAGAGCCTTTGGTGAGCCATTGGGCTTTTGCCTCTCAACTTTATTACTAACTAAGGGAAAAAAGTAATAGTTTATTCACTTGTGGTTAAAATGTGTTCTAGTTCAGTAGAATTAATCGAAAAACACTATGGATTATTTTCTTGTTTTGCAGTTTTAACTGGTTTCTCAAATAGGGCATATTAAAAGTAAAGTCTTAATACGCTTGGGATTGGTGCTCGCTTTGGTAGCACATATAATATGGTTGGGATTGGTTCATCGACAGCTTATAATTGTAAGATTTTGTTTCTGTCTCATCAGTTGTAATTCTGAACTCTTCAGGTTTTTTTTATTATAACAAAATGAGAGAAAATTTGATTTGGGAAGGGATTGTGGATTATTCCCTTAATTATTCTTCTTTTTTCTTTTTTGTGTTAATAATATTAGAAATCATGTTTCTTTCATAGTCTTTTTCTGTACATGTTTTATTTTTTCATTCTTTGCTCAGCCAACCTTCTGTGTAACCTCATAATGTTCTTAAGTAGACAGATGGTAAGTGACTGACAAAATGGAGATAATTTCTTTTTCCTCCTCTGTTCCACTGAACTCATTGTTTCTTATGAACCTTATTTAACCGTGTTAAACTTATAGACCACAGCTTTGTAGGTAGTTTCCTGACTCCATTGTTTAGATAGAACTTTGATATGAAAGCACTTGGAAAGATTTATAAAAATCTATCAGTGTGTTACTCATTTGTTATGAACCCCCTAAACATGGTGTAGTATTTGGATATATGGATTTAAGAAGATTCTTTTATAGCAAGCACTTAAGCATCATGATGACAGACTAGTTAAGTTGTTTGAAATATACCATCATGGGAATCACTATTTTATCATGATTCTCCAATCTGCCCTTCTTTTTTTTTTTTTTTTTTTTTTTTTAAGATTTTATTTATTTTTAAAGAGAGGGGAAGGGAAGGAGAAAGAGAGAGAAATACCTATGTGTGGTTGCCTCTTGCTCTTCCATTCCACTATTGGGGACCTGGCCTGCAACCCAGGCATGTGCCTTGACTGGGTATGGAATCAGCCACTCTTTGGTTCGCAGCCTACACTCAGTCCACTGAGCTGTACCAGCCAGGGCCAATCTGGCCTTCTTAAAGAACTAAATGATTTTGAAGGAAAACTGATAGCAGTTTTGAGTTCAACTTCTACATGTGGGTCTTCATATTCTGCAGTGTGGCCATAACAATCAATAGGAAGTTAATGGTAGCAAGTCTTAATAATATTCATTTAGGTAGCTGCCATTTATTTATTTAATGTACTTGTTACAGTCTGATTTTTCATAACAATCTAGTAAGGGTTTTATAAAGAGGAAACAACTTAGTTAAGTAACCCATCCAGTGTAATTTCTTTAGGTAGAGATGAAACTGGGATTCGGATCTCCCACATATATTCCTCATTATATCCCTTTTTTCTTTTAAACTACTAAGGTAGGAAAGAAATTTCAATGAAGAATGCATCTTTACCTTTGATTTACAGGGTTAGAAGGTATGTTGGTTTATCAGTGAAGTTGAGTGAAACTGTAAGTGGCCATTTATTTAGAATATGTTTTTTGAAGTCAAGATTAAAAAGAGGTTTATACAATTTCGTGTCTAAATGTTTTCTACAAAAAATATTGATATACTTGATAATCATTTCAACATCTTTTGAATTTTTATATGCTTGTGCTTTAATGTGTAAAATTAGTATTTATAAATGTATTACATATTTAATATTTTCTGATTTTAAATAGCATTTAAAATATGTAGTAATCAATAAATGCACAAATTATATAAGCCATTTTGCTGATTAATTTTGAGGCAGTATTTCCTAAAGTAAATGAACTCTACTTGTAATTGTAAGTGGTCTTTTTAAATGTCCCCTTAAGTGTAATAGTAGTAGAAGTCATGGAAATAATGTCAGTTTTCTCATTTTTTGAAGAATTGAGAGTTTCTTTTCATTTTATGTCGTTCATTTTCCAAAATTAAAAAACAGTAAGGAGCTGGTTACTTTAATTTGTTATATAAATAATACATTGAATTAATTAGGTTTTACAGGGAAAAACCTGTATAGATGAAGAATTTTTACTGTTGAGTATTTGCCTTATTTTGTTCAGTTAACTTTAAAAATAGAAAAATTAGATCTTGTCTGTTTTCTTATTATTAAGATTCTTAAGAGTAGTTTTTGTTTTTTTCTTTGTTTCTAAATGTGAATTCAGATGGAATTTTGTTAGAATAAGGAAGACTTCATGAAAGAAGAAATAGCACTGGTTTCATGAAGGTAGTTATCAGTTCAGGAAACTAGAAAAGAGTGTATTATTGGCTTGAGTTTATTGGAATATATTGCAATGTAAAACTGACAAGATGTGGTTAAAACACTTAATTTCCATTATAAGTAAATTGAAATACTTACAGCAAATGTAATGGGAGGACTAGGCAAGACATTTGGAATTAATTAAAAAGTGAAGGAGAATTTAATTCTGGGAAATGATAGGAAAAAAACCGTTAGAGCTAGAAGGTGGTCAGAAGTGGTATTTCTTCCTCCCTGTCCTCTGTTTGCTGTTTAAAGACCTATAGATCAGGAACAACTATAAAAGGACACATGGACAAAACCAAGGGTTGGGGGTGGGAAGCAAGGGAGGGAGGTGGGGATGGCTGAGGTGGAAAGGGTGGGGAGTGGTAAATGCAGACAACTGTAATTAAACAACAATAAAATAATTAAAATAAATAAAGACTTGTAAAACCATGGTATTGTGTTAAGAAAGATTATCATTTACCCTGAGTGTGTGGACAAAGGATCTTCCTTGGATACTACTGTTTTTGGAGGTTTGTCCTTTAATGAGTCAATATTTATTTATTGTTGAAATAGTCAATAACCTTTTGATATCAGGGACACATTAATTTAACTAGAACAACTTTATAAGGCAGTTTGCTATTCAGCAAACATGGAGATGGAATGTGAGTTTGTTTTACTTGATGCTTGCTAGGGGGGAGAGTGTTCAGACCAGCAGAAGGGAAGGTTCATCATTTATTTAACTGGTAGGTATCTCTAACACCACCAGAGGTTTTGTTCCAGATTTTGAACCTCACCACTAGTCTTTAGATTTAGGATTTATGATCAAGAAATTAAATTCTAAAATACAGGATAAGGAAAGCAACCTTGAGGCTTATAAGTATCTATTTTATTTAGGGTAATTTACAGATTATTTTTTTTTTAACACTGCTTGGAATTTTAACAAATTTCTTGGTGGACAAATCACACCCATTTAAGACCACAAATAATGGATAAATGTGTGTGTTCTGACTACTCCCAACAACCAGCCATTCCCCTGTCTTTCTTTCTCTCTCTAGGCTTCTCTGTACCCCTCTAACCAAGAACAGTACTGAAATTAGGCCAACTGATAATCTTATAATGGCCTCTGAGTGTTAAAAGTGAAAGGAAGAGTTGCATGTCTCTTGCTTTAAATCACAAGCTAGAAATGGGTTATGAGAATGGCATGTTGAAAGCGAAGGGAGTTGAAAAGCTAGATCTTTTGCACTAAACAGCCGTGTTGTGATTGCAAAGGAAAAGTTTTTGAAGGAAATAAAAAGTGCTACTCCAGTGAACACACGAATGATGATAAAGCAAAACAGTCTTGTTGCTGATATGGAAAAAGTTTCAGTGGGGTCCATAGAAGCCAGCCACAACATTCTCTTTGACCAAAGCCTAATTCAGACAAAATCCTCTTCCATTCTGTGACGTCTGAGAGAAGTGAGGAAGCTACAGAAGAAAAGTTTGAAGCTACCAGAGATTGATTTATGAGGTTTTGGGAAAGAAGCCATCTCCATAACAGAAAAGTTCAAAGCAGAGCTGCAAATGCTGATATAGAAGCTACATCAAGTTATCTTTGAAGATGTAGCAAAAGTAATTAATGAAGGTGGTTATAGTCAACAACAGATTTCTGTGTAGAAGAACCTCATAGTGGGAGATGTCATCTGGGACTTCTGTAGCTAGAGAGGTGAAGTCAATGTCTGGTTTCAAAGTGTCGAAGTACAGGCTGATTCCTGTTCAGGGTTAATGCAACTGGTGACTTTAAGTTGAAGCCAGTGCTTATTTAACATTCTGACAACTGTAGGGCCCTTAAGAATTATGCAAAATCTACTCAGCCTGTACTCTATAAACAAAGCCTGGATGACAGCACATAGTTTACAGTATTGTTTACTGAATATTTAGAGTGTTGAGACCTGCTCAGGATTTTTAAAAAAATTCCTTACAAAATACTACTGCTCATTGACAATGCACCTGATCACTCAAAACTTTTGATGGAGATGTACAATGAAATTAATGTTTTCATGCCTGCTAACAATATTCATTCTACAGCCCCTGGATGAAGGAGTAATTATGACTTTTAAGTCTTACTATTTAAGAAATAACATTTTTTTAGGCTATCACTGCCATAGATAGGGATTTTCTGGATGGATCTGGGCAAATTTGAAAACTTGGAAAGGATTCACCAGTCCAGAGGCAATTTAAGAACATTCCTGATTCATGTCAAAAGATCAACACTTACAGGAATTTGGAAGAAGTTGATTCCAGCCCTCATGGATGACTTTGAGAGTGGTCAGTACTTCAGTTGAAGAAGTAACTGTACCTATGGTGGAAGTAGTAAGGGAACTAGAATAAGTGATGCCTGAAGATGTGACTGAATTGCTGTACTCCCACACTAAAATTTTAGTGGACGAGGAATTGTTTATCATGGATAAGCAAAGAGTGGTTTTTTAAATGAAAACTCCTGTTCAAGATGCTGTGAAGCTTTTGAAATGACAACAAAGGATTTATAATATTGCATCAACTTAGTTAATAAAGCAGCAGCAGGATTTGAGATGACTGACTTCAGTTTTGAAATAAATTTGATCAAACAGCATCTCATGCTACAGAAAAATCATTCATGAAAGGAAAGAGTCTGTCAATGCAGCAAACTTTATTGTCTTATTTTAAGAAATTGCCACAGCCACCCCAGCCTTCAGCAGCCATCACCCAGATCAGTCAGCAGTGATCAGCTGCTGGTGGTGGGTCTTTAGGCAAGAGCAGCCACCAGCAAAAAGATTGTGACTCACTGACAGCTCAGATGATAGCATTTTTTAAAAAATAAAATATTTTAAAATTAAGGTATGTACATTGTATTTTTAGGTATACTATTGCACACTTCATAGACTACAATATAATGTAAACAACTTTCATATATATTAGGAAGTAAAAAATTTGAGTGACTTGCTTGATTGTGATATTTGCTTTATTGTAGCCATCTTCAGACTTTCCAGTTCATGACACTGGAACTGAATCCACAATATCTCTGAGATACACCTATATATTTTCCCCTATTTTTAAAACTTCATGAATCAGATATTGTACCTGTTTTGCTCACCATTACATAATTATTAACTAGTGCAATAGCTGGGAGAGTGATACTCAGTATCACACAGTGAATGAGTATGAGTAGTTATCACTTGTAGTGGGTTGAATTGTTCCCTCAAAATTTGTGTTGAAGTCCTAAGCCCAGGTTCCTAAACTGGCTATTTTTTGATATAGGGCCTTTAAAGAGATGATTATGATAAAGTGAAGTCATATGGTTACACCCTTATCCACTATGGTTGGTGTCCTTATAACAAGAGGAGATAGACACACACAAAGAACGGACCTTGTAGACAATGGAGGAAGACAGTCATCTACAAACCAAGAGAGAGACCTTAAAAGAAACCAACCCTGCTGACACCGTGATCTTGGAATTCTAGCACCCAAAATTGTGAGAAAATACATTTCTGTTTAAGCCACCCTATATGTGATACTTTGTAGCTTCTACCAACAGATTTTGTTACTTGGGATTCTGCTTTAACAAATACTATAACATGTAGACATAGGTTTGGCACTGTGTATGATAGAAGTTGGAAGTATTTTTGAAATAGGTGTTAGAAAAACCCACGTTGCCTTGAGAGGTTGTGGTAGAAATTAATATTAAAGGAGATTCTAGTGAGGACTCTGAAGGAGAGCTGTTGAGAAGGCTTCTGTCATCTTAGAAATACACATATGATCATGAACAGAATGTTGGTAGAAATATGAATGCTAAAGGTTCTGGTGAAGTACCAAACAAATGAATAAGAAGTTATGGAAGCTGAAGGAAAGCATATTTTGTTACAAAATGGCAGAAAACTTGGCTAAATTGTATTCCAGTGTTTTGTAGAAAATAACATATAAGTGATAGACTTGAGCAAATGTAGCTGAGACTGTTAAGCACAAATTGTTAAAGATATGGCCTGGTATCTTCTTGCCGCTCGTAGTAAGGTACAATAAGAGAGAAATTGAAGATGTAATTTCTCAGCAAAATGGAAACAAGACTTAAAGATTTAGAAAATTATCAACCTAATGCATATTGTGAAAAATTAGAAAGTCTCGTGGTGCAGGGAGGAGGGGGTAAGGGGGAGAAAAAAACTGGGACAACTGTAATAGCATAATCAATAAAATATACTTTAAAAAAAGTGTTTTAGAGACAATCTGAACTTTGTTGTTAGACAATTTTCTGAAAAATATTACAGGCATGTGAGTTACGTATTCATTAAGCTGTCTCAGCAAGAATAGAGAAGGGATTATGACAGCAGAAACGCCGCCAGCTTGGACTGAGGAAAGAGACAGGACACAAAATAAAGCAAGGCAAGATGTTTGGGATTCTGTATGACAAGTCAGTAGAGTTATCTGGCTGTGAACTTGTTGCTTCTTCAAGGTTAGAACCATAAAATCAGAAGTACCACAAACTGGGTGCAAAGGGGATGGGAGCTACCACCTTAGGAGGCCTGGAGAACAGAACATGAAGCCAAAGAGGATTCCTCTTCAACCTCAAGATCTAATGGAACTTAACGTTGTTAGGTTTTGGACTTGCTTGGGACCCCTCCTTCCTTCTTTCTCATTTCTCCATTTTGGAATGGGAATCTGTCTTGTATGCCTCTTGCAGCATTGTATTTTGGAAGCAGATAACTTGTCTAGGTTCACTGCTGGAGAGAAATTTTGCCTCATGATGAATTATATCTCAAGTCCATCCTATGTGATTTAAATGACATTTCATTCAGTGAGATTTGTGGACTTAGAAGTAATGCTGGAGGGCTTTGGGGACTGTTGGGGTTGGGTGAATATAGTTTGTGTATGAGAAGGACATGAACTGTGTGAGAGCCAGAAGGCAGAGTTTTATGGAATGAATTATGTCCTAACCAAATTCATATGTTGAGGTTCTAATCCGCAGTACCTCAGAATGCAACTGTTTTTGGAGATACTACCTTCAAAGATATTTTAAGGTAAAATAAGTTCATATGGATAGGCTTTCATATGACTAGTGTCAGAAGAAGAAGAGATCAAGATATAAGCACAAAGGAAAGACCATGTGAAGAATGCCAGGGGAAGAAGGCCATTTTCCAGCCAAGAAGAGAGAGAGGTCTTAGTAGAAACCAACCTCACTGATATCTTGATCTCAGACTTCTAACTTCCAGAATTGTGAGACAATAAATTTCTATTGGTTAAGTCAGGTGCTTTGTCCTAGCCCTAGGAGACTAATTCACAGCTATTACATTAATTAAGAGGCGCTTATGAGATAGTACCTATCTCTTCCATGGTTTCTTGTGTCAATGAGAGTATTTGGGTCAGTGGTTTTTGATTTTTAGTTTAATTCAAACTTTCTGAAAATGGAATTATTTCATTAAGAAGTATATAGTTTGTCGCATGGGACTGGAGATGGCCACAGTACAGCACAGGTCTGTAGTCTTAGAATGTTCTATGGATTGCACCTTGGATTGTGAAAGGCAGAAACTTCCAATTTTAGGAAAGCATAGAATTTGAAGATAAGTTGCAGTTCTGACTGCAACTCAGGTAAGTCACTTAATTTTCTAAAACTTTTAATCATAATTAAATGAGCTATTTCAGTTGAAATAGCTCTTGTGTTAGCCTTGAAATTCTGTGCTCTTGTTTGCCTGTTGATGATTTCACCTCCTTACTCTTGATATACACTAGGGATTGGCAGGAAACAACAAACCAGTTGATTTTTTTTTTTTTTTTTTTTGCTAGTTACAAATGCTGTGAGAGCTAAAAGGATAAAGTGGGGTTTTTTGTTATTTCTAAAATGTGTTCACATTCTTCAGCATAAGCAACAGGAGTTAAGCATTTGTTTCAGATGTACAAGTCAGTGATTAGATGTTTATGTAACTTGCATAGTGATCACTCAATGTAGTATTCAGCTGACACCATACAGAAGGTTAGGGTTATTGACTATATTCCCTAAACTGTACTGTACATCCTCATGACTGTTCTGTAACAACTAATTTGTACTTAATCCCTTCACCTTTTTCACCCATCTATCAACACCCCTCATCTGCAATCATCAAAATATTCTCTGTATCTGGGTTTTTTTCTGTGATTTTTAATTTTCATATATAAGTGTAATAATAATGTCATTTGTCTTTCTCTGACTTAATTTCACTTAGCACAATACTCTGTAGGTCTGTTCATGTTGTTACAAACAGCATGATTTCATTCTTTTTGTAAAACTACGCTACATTTTTTTTACTGTTCAAGTACACTTGTCTGCATTCTCCCCCCAACGCTCACCCAACACTCACCTCCCACCCCAGCCATCCCCACCTCCCTCTTCTGATCCTATCCCCCTCTTGGTTTTGTCCATGTGTCCATTATAGTTGTTCCTGAAAACCTTTTCCCCCTCATATTCCCATCCCACCTCTCTCTGGTTACAGTCCTTTTGTTCTCAATTTCACTGTCTGTGATTATATTTTGCTTGCTCGTTTGTTTTATTGATTAGGTTCTACTTAGAAGTGAGATCATATGGTATTTGTCTTTCACTGCCTGGCTTATTTCACTTAGCATAATGCTCTTCAGATCCAAACATGCTATCACAAAGGGTAGGAGCTCCTTTTTTTCTTTCTGCTGCATAGTATATTCCATTGTGTAAATGTACTATAGTTTGTTGATCCATTCATTTACTGTTGGGCACTTGGGTTACTTCCAGCACTTGGCTGTTGTAAATTGTGCTGCTATGAACATTGGGGTGCACAGGTTCTTTCGGATTGGTGTCTCAGAGTTCTTAGTGTATAATCCCAGCAGTGGAATGGCTGGGTCAAAAGGCAGTTTCATTTTTTGTTTTTTGAGGAAATTCCATACTGTTTTCCACTGGCTGCACCAGTTTGCATTCCCACCAGCAGTGCACTAGGGTTTCCTTTTCTCCACATCCTCTCCAACACTTGTTTGTTGATTTGTTTATGATGGCCATTCTGACCAGCGTGTGGTGGTATCTCATTGTGGTTTTACTTTGCATCTCTCTGATGTCTAGTGATGTTCAGCATCCATTTATATTTGGGCCCTCTGTATGTTGTCGTTGAAGTGTCTATTCAGGACTTTTCTCATTTTTTCAATTGGGTTTTTTGGAGATCAAACCTTTGTCTGAGGTATAATTGGCAAATGTGTTTTCCCATAAAGTTGGTTGTCTTTTCATTTTAATGCTGTTTTCTTTAGCCGTGCAGAGCCTTTTTATTTTGATGAGGTCCCATTTGTTTGTTCTTTCCTTTATATTCCTTGCTTTAGGGGACATATCAGAAAAAATGTTGCTGTGTTGAATATCTGAGATTTTCCTGCCTAAGTTTCCCTCTAGGACTTATGTGGTGTCACGACTTATATTTAAGTCTTATCCACATTTACTTATTTTTGTGTATGGTGTAAGTCGGTGATCAAGTTTCATTTTTTTGTACGTAGCTGTTTACCTCTCCCAACATCATTTGCTGGAGGCTGTTTTTACTCTATTTTATGCTCCTGTCCCCTTCCTCGAATATTAATTGACCATATAGACTTGGGTTAATTTCTAGTGTCTGTGTTCTATTCCATTGGTCTGTGTGTCTGTTCTTATTCCAGTACCAGACTGTTATGATTACAGTGACCTTGTAATGCAGTTTGACTTCAGGTATTATGATTCCTCCTACTTTGTTCTTATTTCTCACAATTGCTGCAACTATTTGGGGTTGTTAATGGTTCCATATAGATTTTTGAAATGTTTGTTCTTTACCTGTGAAATATGTCATTGGCATTTTAATAGGGATTGCACTGAATCTATCAGTTGTTTTGGGTAGTATGGACATTTTGATGATGTTAATTCTTCCGATCCATGAATACAGTACACTCTTCAGTTTGTGTCTTCCTTGATTTCTTTCTTCAGTGTTGCGTAGTTTTCTGCATACAGGTCTTTTACTCCTTGGTTAGGTTTATTCCCAGATATTTTATTTTTCTTTTTGCTGTATCAAATGGGATTTTTTTCTTGATTTCTGCTTCTGCTGATTGATTTGTTAGTATACAAAAATGCCTTTGATTTCTGTATATTGAGTTTGTAACCTGCTGTTTTGCCAAATTCATTAATTAGTTTGAGCAGTTTTTTGGTAGAGTCTATAGGATATTCCATGTACACTCTCATGTCACCTGCAAACAATGACAGTTTTGTTTCCTCTTTTC